GAGAAACGAAAGACATTGTTTTTCCAAAGGATTTCTTGGCTGTAAAAAAGGCCTCCCCCACCCTGTGGCTTCCCTGATGAAGGCCCAGCGTTAATTTGTTAAATCCACATCAAGTGCCCGGAGAACCCGTTGTTTATTTTTGCTAATTCAGCCGCCCGAGATCAAATTGGGGTTTTATTTGTTAAGGATAAAACCTTAATTAATAAAAGCTATTTATTTGGTTAGAGCTGGCTGCAGCCTGAGGGTCAGATATGCCACGATCATTATTTCAAGTAAAACAAACCCAAAACGTCTCTCAACAGTTTGAAAAACACAGAAACTTAGAGGGCTGAATTTATTTGTCTTAGGAAGAATTTACAGCTAATTCCCTCCAGGCCATTTCAAACCCTTAAATTATACCCAAGAAGTGGAAAAAAAAAAAGTGGAGGGGGGGAAGGAAAGGGGGAAAAAAAAGGCCATTCCAGGCAGAGAAGGGAAGTAAATGGGATGGCAGATTTGATTATTTGGCTGGGGAGGGGGGTGAAAAATTTAAAGCTTAAAAGGTCTTTGGCAAACTGCTCCCAAATCAATGGAACGCGTGAAATAATTTAATGGCAGAAAACTGCTCAGGGGCCTGTGGAGCAATGGAAAATGAAACACGTTGGAGGAGATGTAGCCTGGGGTTGGTTTTTCTGTAGGAGAAGGTTGAACTCGGTCCCTCCTGCCATGGCCCCCCCCGAAAAAGGGAGAGGGTTTGCACCCCAAAGCCAAAGGGAAGAGCTGGAGCCAGCAAACCCTCTTCCCAGGGTGGTGGTTTGTAGCATAATCTGAGGGAGGGATGGGCTTGTGGTTGGCCAAGGTGACCATACTGGGTTGCAGGGACAGTGCTGGGTTAACAGTATGTTCTCTGCAAAGAAACCCCCCAAAATTGGGTGTCTGGAGGGGACCCGCCCAGCAGGTTGGAGCCCAGTGCCAAAAGCCATCCCGAGGGATGAGCTGCCCCGCTGGAGCATCCCTGCCTGGGGCCACTGCAGTCCCGGGGACTCAGGGCTTGGAGCTGCTGCCTGGGTCTGGCTCCCAGCTGCTCGGGGCCGTTTATCACTTGCTGCTGCAGGTCGTAAGTCACAGCCGAAGCCCGGGTGGAAATCTAGTGAAAATTACCTCTTTACAGCACTCGGCGGCTGCCGGGGGCCCTGCCAGCGTGGGGCCCCCCTTGGCAGGCCCAGGCTTCGGCTGCTGAGACCCGCCGAGCCCTTCCTATGGAAAACTGATGGAAGCAGAGAGGGGAAAGGCAAGAGCTGGAAGGGCGGGATGGGTCGGCACGGCTCTGACAGCCCCTGCAAAGCGGGCAGGACCAGTTGCTGCCCAGTTCCCGGTGCCTTGTCAGCGTTTCTGCATGGAGAAGGGCTTTGGGGTGACCCCCAGCATCCCATGGCACCCCTAGGGCAGCTGCTCTTGGGCAGGCAGCGTTGCCTGAGGTTGCTGGAGGTTCCCCAGGCCACAGGGAGCCCCCCTGAAACTCAACCACATCACGAGCAAAGAGACTCGTGTCTTTTCCCATGCACTGGGGCAGCTGAAGGTTTCTTTTTTTGGGGGAAGCACACGGGACCCATCCTGCTCTGCTTAAAGCCCTTGTGCCCCCCTCTCCCTGTCCTCCCCTCATCACCTTTCGTTATTCAGTAACATTATCCCCCCCTTTTTCCCTTTTCCTCTGCATTTTTTTTCCCTTTGGCAGAAACTGTGACCAGTGGAAGATAAATACACAGAAGGGAAGGGGGTTGGGGGGAAGGCTCAGGGTCTGCTCTGACCTCAGGGTTGGACAATCACACCAATCCCTCCAGCCGTGCCCCAAACCAACCCCCAACTTATAATGGTCCCATCAGGGCAGGGAACTGGTTTCTGATTCCTCTGTCAAGGATTCAGCGAATCCAGTTCAACCCAAATCCCATGGATGGTGGCAGTGAGATGGCAGGGGGTTTCAGGGGACCCACCCAGTCCCCTGCCCTGTCCCCTCTCCAGTGCCACAGAGCACTCAGTGATGCTCCTTTTTGGAAAGCTGATTTGGGGCTATTGAAGCACCTTTGACAGCAGCAATCGGGCCTGTCTCTGCTCACTGTACCTGCCAGGTGCCCACTGCCAGCCCTGAGGGTGACACTCAGCTGGTCCCACCAGCCCACCCTGCCTGAGCTGGTGGGGAAAAGCTGTTGAACCCATTACCAAGGCTCATCCTTAGGCAGAGCAGAGGACCCAGGCATGGAGCTACTTCCCAGCAGTAGGCAGGTGAGATGGGAATTGGGCAGGAATTAACACAGCTGAGAACTGAGCTGGAAAGCAAAGGTTTCTGTGGTTGATTGGGGAGCTCTGAGCTACACGGGGGTGCACCGTGTTTTAGGGGGAGTGTGAAAGGTGGGGAAGGGGTTTTGGTCACCAGCATCCTCAGAGAAGCTCCCTGGAGCATCCTACAGAGTTTTGTGGCACAGGAGAAGATCCCTCCATCAAATCCAGCTGAACCAAATGCCCCAACCTGGGCACAGCCAGACTTGCAGCTCTCCAACCACCCAGGAACCACCAGCACCCGAATTCAACATCTTGACCCAATTCTGGTCTCATGTCTCCATCTCAGCATCCCTGCCAGCCCCATACAGGAATCACTCAGCACTGCCTGGCTCCCACAGCCTTTTTGCTCTTGCCTCCATGGGTTTGGGGAGATAGAAACCACCCAGAAACGGGGCCAGATCCTACAGAGCTGGTGTGAGAGTTAATTTAAGAAACTTTCCCTCCTCCGCCTTGCTTTCAGCCAAATTAGAGTGGGTGAGAGAAGCCATCACTTATGGAAAAGTCCTATAGCCAGATTTTAAATCAGGGATGAAACCAAAGGGGGTTCATAAATGTTATTTATACATTTACTAGAGCTCTGTTGAAATCATTGCTGGTTCAGTGGGGGGCAGCGGGTGCCCTTCATGACGGCACTTTTTGAACCAAGCCCCGGTCTATAATTTCCCCAGGGGTGGCCATAAACCCACAAGGCGACGTCTCTCACCCTCTTACATCCTGTAGCTCCTTCCCAAGCCTGATGGTTCCCATTTTGGTCCCAGGCTCCTGCAAAACTCAGGGACAACCATGGCTGGACTTCATGTATTTTAATCCAGCAGCTCGTTAGCTCGCGGCAGGAAAACAGGACCAAAAAAGGAGTTTAACTAAAAGGGGCAACTGGAAAGCAGAGACTGGCAGAACATTTGAAGCTGCAGGAACAAGGGCTGGAGGGAATCTGGAGAATTTTATTTGTGAGCCTTTAAACATGAACAGCAAGGAAGGGCAGCCTGTGGTTTCCAGGCCAGGGAAAGGATCTCAAACCCACATGTATTTTGGGCACGATGCTGTTCACCTTGTCTTTACCCAGTCAAGGCCATGTCCCACATGCAAGAGCTCAGGCTGTTTCCAGCCCAAGGGATGGTCAACCAAGGTTCAAATGCACCTAGAACACAGTAAAAGACCCAGAGAAACACCAGTGGCTGCAGCAAGGCCCTGGGAAGGGGTTGGAGCTCCTTTGCCTCCCCTTCTCATCCAGGGATGTTCTCCTCTCCCCTCCGCATGGTCCCAGCCGTTTGTCCCCATTGTGGTCAAAATGATGCAGCATCCCTGCATGTGCCTGGGAGATGACACCTGGGCACCACCACTGGCTCCTTTCCCCACCTCTACAACCCTGCATCTCCTCCCAGCCCAATATTTCATCCCATAACAGGTCAGGGTGATGTGGGAAACCCAGCACTCACAGGCCCTGGCATTGATCCTCGCTATAACAAAGCACCAGAGAAACAATCTGCTCTTTCCAGGAGGCCACTGCCAGCAGATATTGGGGTCTTTCTGCTCCTCATGGCCCCTCTCAGGATAGGACAGCCCCTGAGAGTGGTATACCCATCACAAAGGGACATTAGGAACTTGATGGAGAAGTTGATAGAGATTTCATGGCTTGAATTATTCAGAATTAAGGTCCAAGGTTTTTCTGGCCTTAAAGATCTTGGAACCCATAATCTCAACAGCTCAGTGGTGTATTGAAGAAGAAGATGCAATATCCTTTCCAGTGGATTTTGTTACTTGCTCAAGTATCTGAAAATGCTGCTCATCTACTTAATAACTACCAAGATAGCTTATTAGCAATTATTTATTCCTTGAGCAGCTTCAGGGAGCAGTAATCCCTGCCATCGTGGCCTCTGCAATGATATAGAGCAGAAAACTCCAATATAACCCCACCATGAATCAGAACGTCATAAAACTATTAACATTTCAAATAATTCCAAAATACTTTCCCACCAGTAGGTACAGATTGGATCCAGATGCCTTATTAACAGGGAGAACAGTTACCCAGTACCTCTGTAAGGCAGCACGACAGCGAGACGTGTTCCTCATGAAGCCTTTGCAAGCAGCTGCCCGGGTATCTCAGAAAAAGACTCCATAAACTTGCCTAAACCTGGTGATATTAGTGACAAAGAGGAGATTAATCTCAGCCTGGCTGGGAGCCCAGGATCGATACTGAGAAACCCAACTACAGCCCCAGCTTCATGTTTCCATGAGCCAGCAAAGCCAGAAATAAACCCTGCGGAGGCTGAGCCCTGCGAGACGCGCTGCTGTTTGCTCCTAGCTCTGAGGACCAGGTTGGAGGAGCAGATGCTCAGCTGCAGCCTTGTGTCACCTTGGGGACCATGCTACAGCCAGGGCTTCAGGGGGTGTGAGCTGAGACCCACATCTCAGAGACCTCTTGGTGCTGAATTTCAATTGCCATCCATGAAAGCTTGAGCTAAACCTTTAGAAGAGCCAAGCCCAAGACTCCTAGTGGACATGTCCACATTGAGGTGGGGGCTGTGAGATGCAGTCCCAGCAGTTTGGATCCAGAGCTGCCTCAGAGTCCACTGAGACTGGTATTTAAAAATTGAGTCTGGGTGTTTTTAGTCAGATGTGAAACCACCACAGGTCTTCCAAATGCTGGGTTTAAGCCTAAACTCCAGCAGGTCCTAAAACAGGTTATGATTCTCATGGAGACCCCAGGGTTGCTTCTCACAGAGCCCCAGGTGCCTGCAGGGAGCAGAGCTGGTTTGGAGCAGGGCAGTGCAGCCCCCCAGGATGGTTTTGAGCCTGGCCAGGTCCCTTTGTGGGGTCTCTGGGGTCTTGCACGGGTCTGGTTCTCACGTGGCCTCTCCTGTGCTGTCCCCACAGGTGAGAGCCTGAGCCCAAGTCGTGGGGCAGCCAAGAGGAAGAAGAAGCAGAGGAGGAACCGCACGACCTTCAACAGCAGCCAACTGCAGGCTCTGGAGAGGGTCTTTGAGAGGACGCACTACCCTGACGCCTTCGTGCGGGAGGAGCTGGCCAGGAGGGTCAACCTCAGCGAGGCCAGAGTCCAGGTGAGCAAAGGTTGGTGTGGGAGAAAACAACACCTTCTGCCTTCTCCCCAGGCAGGAGCAGGGACTGTCCCCTCTCCCATGTCATCCTGCACGTGGCCACAATCAGTAGGACGGATGCTCGGGACATCCCTGCTCTCCCTGGGCTCCCCACTGACCACCCTCCCTCCCCACACAGGTTTGGTTTCAGAACCGAAGGGCCAAGTTTCGCCGGAACGAGAGGGCCATGCTGGCCAACAGGTCAGCATCACTCCTCAAATCCTACAGCCAGGAAGCTGCCATCGAGCAGCCCATGGCACCACGGCCCACCACCCTCACCCCGGAGTATCTCTCCTGGACCAGCACTTCCCCATACAGGTAGGTGCAGGCACTGGAGGACCTGGGGAAGAGGTGGCCATGGGGCAGGCTGCCTGGGGACCACCCCACCACCACAGGACTGCAGCCCTGTGCTGCTGCTGAGGACACTGGGGGTTTTGTGGGGCTGAAAGGAGCTCGTCTGGCTTTGCTTTGGGAACCTGTTTCAGCCCCATCTGAGCATCCCCTGACTCACGCTCAGCAGGTTTCCCTGCCTCCAGGCATTTCAGGGCCCAAGTGGGGGCCCTGATTGTTGCAAGGGATTCACTTGGCCTTATGCTGACCCTTCCCACATCTTGGCACGCTGGGTGGCATAGGTCTCTACTGGTTCCCAGCTCTCCCCATCCAGCCATCTAATCCAAAAGATCAAGGCAGGACCTCCTGGTACATAGTTTGAGGGTTCCCACATGCATCCAGCCACAGAAAAATGCTGAAGCCTTGACTGCACTTGTGGGAGATGCCTAAGAGGGAATGTGCTGGGAAGCCAGCAGGACCTCACGGGGCACAGGGTCTCTGTGGGCCATGCCTCATTCCCGCCCTGCTCCCTCCCCACAGCACTGTGCCCTCCTACAGCTCCAGCGGGACCGCGACGCCCACCCAAGGGGTCAACATGGCCAACAGCATCGCCAGCCTGCGCCTCAAAGCCAAAGAGTTCAGCCTTCACCAGAACCAGGTGCCGACCGTGAACTGAGCAGGGCAAAGCCCCCCCCATGGCCTCAGCTGGGACACAGCGTGGACGCAGCTCCTGGGCTGGTCCAGGAGGAATCCACCACCTGCCCAACCCACGTGCACTCATCCAACATCTCAGCACCTCTTCTCTCCTCTTCTCTTCCCTTTTGAAGGTAGAGTCAGACCCAGGCCGAAGTGGCACGTAATTATAGCCACATATGGAGCAAACTTGGTTAGGAACTTGCTTTTCTGCACACCCTTATACTAACGGCTATATATACACACACATACCCCCCACGCGCTCTTCGAGGACAAACAGACTTGCCAAGGGAACAAGAATTTGCTTCCAAACATGGAAGGATCTTGGACTATTGGATTTGACCAATTTGGGTATCTCACCCAGAGAGCCAAAGAGTTATTTGGTCTTCTCCTCCCGCAGGGACAGCTGCAGCGGTGGGAGGGTCATGAGCCCACTCAAAGCCGACCCACATGTCCACCTCTTTGTGCATCCCCATCCACAGTGCTTGGGAGAGACTTTGGGAAGCTGACAGCTCATCTCTGCCGTGGCTAGTCCCAACCAGCACTGTTCTGCCTCCGTTTAGGAGCTGCCTATGTTGATGGCCTCAGGCTTTGCCCCTTCCCAGAGCGACTAGGGGGGATGGAGCATCTCGACAGACTCGCTGGGAGCCTGTGAGCTCTCCCTCAAGCTGGGGGAGCATCGCTGGTCCCCAGGCAGGCACCACTGCCCCTGCCTCTGTGGCTTTGCCAGCGATCCAGCAGAGCCCCAGGTCATTGAACCACCCTGGGGAAAGAGAAAATTGGAAAAAGCTGTTGGGTTTCAGCTGAGTAGGCGGCTCCCGGCGCTTCGTGCCAACGGCAAAGGAGGCTTCTCCTTCCGGAGGCAGCGCCGCAGATGTGCGGGGCTGGGGGGCTGGTGACTCCACGGGGGTGGGCTTTTCTGGTTTTGCAGAGAGGAAATGGTTTCCCCCTTCGACCCACCCTGTCATGCAGCCTAATGAGGCTGCAAGGTGGGACGTGCAGGGGGGTGGACACAGGGTGGGCAACCTTGGCCCAGGCTTGGGCCACCCCAGTCCTGTGCCTGTGGGACTGAGCCACAGAGACGCACCCTCCACCTTCCCCTGCCAGTGCTGCAGCAATGGGGGAGGAGTCAAAGAAACTGAGGTTTTACCCTGTGGAAAAAAAGCCCTCTGGAAAGAAGACCACCCTTTCCTCACCCACTGCAAAGAGCCACCAGCCGGCTCAGATGGGTGGCCTCGATGGAGAAGGCACCAGTGCTACTTGCCTGGGAGGGCTTAGCCCAGCTGAGACTGCAGCAGTAGATCTGAGGATGAATACAGCAGTTGCTAAGGTGCTTCTCCAGATAAACAGCCTCTGTCTGCAATGCCAAGGCTGAAAGTGCTCCAACTACAAGTGTGCCAACCTAAGACCCCACCACTCCCAGGAGCATCCTCTCCTTTCCCACCAGTGCTGTCACTGCAGCCACACACGGTACCCAGCAGCCATGACACCAGGACCCTCAGCCTCACCCTGCCTGTCCAGGGGGACTCACCCAGTACCTGGAGCTGGATACCAGGAGAGCAGCACACATGCTCCAGGTGAGGCTGAACCAGCCCCTCCATCCTGGCCCCAGCCCCAGCTTTCTCTGCTCCACCCAATGCAGCCTCCTCTTTGGCAGGCAAGGAGAGGGCACAGCCTGACCAACCCTACCCACCTCCTCCAGGGAGTAAAGTCACCCTAAATCCCCAGCCTGTGCCCCCATCCCTGTTTTCAGGGTTGGTATCCCCCCTGCTGCCCTGCCAGAGGGAAGCACACAGCTCCCCAGACACCACACAGAGACCCAACAGAAGCAGAGACGTGCCAGGCTTGGGGGGGAAGGAGACAGATCCACTGTGGATCAAACCATTCACCATGAGAAACAGCAGGAGGAAGGGGCCAGGGGGGTCCTACTCCCATGGAAAGCACAGGGCTCTTTTTTCAGTTACACAAGATGAAACCACAGGGATATAAATGTCACTGCCTCTTTGAGAGCATTAATGAAAATAAACCCCTTTAATAGTTTGCAGATGCCGTTTCTGTAAACCTAAAAAAAGCAGGGAATAAATATTTCTTCACTAAATATCTATATGTATATATATATTTGAAAACATTTCGCTCCTGATCTTAGGGCCCCTCCTTCCCTGTGCTCTTGGCAGCTCTTTGCAGCTTGTCAGTCAACACCAAAGCCTCCCCAAGACCAGATACAAACTGCAACCACTGAGGAGTAGCAGGACCGAGGGATTATTGTAATCTAAGCTCCCTCTCACCCTTTCTATTTGTACATTTCAATTCCTTGTAACAAGATCCACGGTGGATTTTTATTTTTTTTTCCCCCTTCTCTTTCTGCATGTCTGTGTTTTGGAGATTATTTTTTTTTTTGTAAGGTTTTTGTAAAAACACTCTTGTGAAATAATGGAGGAATAAATATTTTACTGAGTAGAGACGTGTCTGTGTGTGATGGGGATGTGGCTCTTTCCTCACAGGCTGCTATGGTTTCCTCACTTGGCCTGGACAAGCAGCATGGGCAGGGGACAAACTGCCCTGGGCAAGGGGACAAGGCCACTTTCACATCATGTGGTGGTGACATCTCAACAGCTCCTCCCTAAGACCTGGATTTCAGCCCAGGTTCCCAAAAAGTGAGTGGAAGGGAGAGAGACAGGAGCATTGGGGGAACAAGTTAAGGCTTCATGAAGCTGGAAGGGGGCAGAGGGACTTGGGGACCCTCAAGGTGATGCCTGGAGATGGTAGAAATTCAAGGGGCACAGAAAACAGCCTAGCAAGGGTCCTAGATATCAGGTAATTTCAGGGCCTTGCCAGATCTATCTTACTTCATTTTGGGATAATGACCTGGGGCTATAGAGGAAAGAGCATTAGGAAAGAGGGTTCTGTTTGCTTTTCCCCCTCAAAATTCCACTGAGAGTGGCAGAGTTCATAAGCTCTGCCCTATGAACAGCTCTCAAACTCCGCACAAAGCAGCAGCTCATGCTAACACCAGCCCCAGTTCACACCCATGGCCTTGGAAGCAGCTCCCACCTTTCCCCACCAGCAGCAAGGGAACAGCCTGGGATGTGGGCAGGAGCAGGCAGCTGAACCCCTTGCGAACTTGAGGGGTTATCAGGTCAAATCCAGCATTGTAAATGTGGGTGGAAACCTGCAAACACTAATGGATGCTCTACAAACATCAGGGATGAGCATGTGTAACAGACATTCCATCCTCCTGGGCCAAGTGACCACCAGAAAGTTATCTCACAGCCCTGGGAGCCAGAAACAGGCAAGGTGGAGGTCTGGACCTGCTCAGAGAATTGGAGGCTGTGGAGAAATAAGATTTGTCTCCTATATCATCACTGCAGGCACATCCAGGCACTCAGATGCTGCTCTGTCAAGTGCACAGACTCTCTAAGGGCTGGGCAGCACAAGCACTGGGAGCCCAAAGGAGCATCAGATCCTGCTCTTCCAGCCTCCATCCTCTGCATCAAGGAGGGCATTGACCTGGCAAGCTGCAGGCTGGGCACTGGTGGGGTGGGAAGATGTGGGACCCAAAGGGCAGCCCAGACTCATGGGGAGATCAGCAGAGCCACACAACTGAGTGGATTTGGAAGGGCAGAAAGTGCCTTCACTGCTGCTGTAGGAACCCACAGCACAACTAAAGCCTGAAATCCATCACCCCAAGATACTGTAGAAATCAAAGGTATAAAGTGCATTCAGAAAGGGTTAGAAAGTTAATGGTGGGTGGGTCTGTTAGGGCAACATGGCAGAGATTCAACTGCCTGTGCAGAAATCTGCTGCCCTGCCAACTTCCAGGGGTGAGGAAGGAACACCCCGGGTTTGCCTTGTTTCCTTTACTTGCCTTAATCTGCTGAACTGCAGCAGATTCATCTCCTCTCAACTCCTGTGGTGCTTCCAATGCTGCCAGCAACGTGTCCCAGCTTTCACCAGAGGGGAACAAGGCTCATCTGTCTCATCTCAGCACTTCAGTGCAACACCCAGTAGAAGGGGAGCGAGTCCCTGTGTTGGGCATCACCCCAAGCCCACTAACTGCCTGAGTTTTCTGATCTTCCCACCCTGTTTTAAGTTCTGGGACAGGAAAAACAGGGTGTGACCACACAATGAAGAGCTTGAAAGGAGCATGAATCTTCCACAATGCAGCCACAGAGCTCCTTGTGCCATGCTGAGGGCAGTGGGCAATGCTATGGACAGACACAGGGATCTTATCTCAGTGCCTGGAGCAGGGCTGGTGTCCAGAACCACAACCAGCTGCTGGAATTTGGGGCACCCACACACAATTTACAGATCTGACCCGTGGGTTGTGCAGCCCACAAATCCATACCCAGACATGGTCCCACATGCCCACAGCTCCACCATCCCTGTCACACTGCCCTGCTGCTGCTTTGCAACCACTTATTTATGCATTCAGTAAGTGACTTGTAGATCGTTAAGGTCATTTGTCCAACCTCCTGCTTAGCCCCAGGCAGAGAATATTGCCCAGGCAGCATCCTCATGTCCTCAGCATGTGGCCAATGCAGAACATCCCTTTGGAGGGCATCCAGCCCCAAGTCAAAAGACCATTGGAAGTGAAGAGCTTGCAGATCTCAGGGCAGATTCTTCCAGTGACTCATTACTCTTAACTGCTGGAAATATGTCACTTATTTCCTGCCTGAACTGTCCCAGCTTCAGTTCAGATCCCTCTAGAGCAGAAGGTCTCAACCCCTGCTCTGCTGGCTCCCAGGAGCTGATGGATTTCTGCAGGGTCTGCAAACGGGGAGATAGACAAGCATGGAGAGCTGCAGCTCACCTGGCAGGCTCTGCACTCCACAGGGAAAGCTGCCAATGAAGAGCAGATTCAAGGCCCTGTGCTACCTCCCCTCCTCTTCCAGCACGGGGGGCTTTTGTCCTCCTAGGAAGGGGTCTGTCACAGACCCATCCATCACCAGAACTGAGTTCTGCAGAGAGGTTCTGCAGAGAGGTTCTGCTTCCCCCTCCACACACCACAACCTTCAGGTGGGATGGAAGGTTGCAAGAATATTATTTGCCACTTGTTTCCTTCCCCAAAGCAGATGATTTTCAATCAGGTGACTCCCAGAGGGCAGGTCTCAGCTGCCAGGAGGGCATCCCTGTGGCCCCTCTCCTTGTTTCTGACCCCACAGCCTGACACTTGAGTGTGGCTTTGAGACTGATAAAAATCTGAAGTTTTCCCTGCGTTCTTTTAACGAGAACAATTCTGTATTGTCATCAGCACCGGCTGCCACGGCAGCAGGACAAACCAGAGCTCACATTTTCCAGCTTCGCAGGGATGCCAGCCCGGCTATTCCCGGCCAGAACGGATTGGACAGACA